GACATTACAACTGATACTGCAGAAATTCAAAGAATTACTAGAGGCTACTGTGAGAAACTATTAATATTGCCAATAAATTGGAAAATCTAGGGAAATGGATAAATTCCTAGACACACACAGCCTACCAATATTGAACTAGGAAGAAATCCAAAACCTGAACAGACCAATAACAAGTAATGAGACCAAAGCCATAATAAACAGTCGTCCAATGGAGAAAAGCCTGGGACCTGATGGCTTCACTGCTAAATTCTACCAAACATTTAAAGAACTAATAACAATCCTACTCAAACTATTCCAAAAAAAAAAAAAGGACGAGTACTTATATTCTGTGAGGTCAGTGTTATCCTGACACAGAAACCAGACAAAGACATCTCAAAAAAGGAAACTATAAGTGAATAACTTCATAAATATTGATGCAAAAATCCTCAGCAAAATGCTAGCAAACTGAATGCAACAATACATTGAAAGGATCATTCCTCACGACCAAGTGAGATTTATCCCAGGAATGCAAGGATGGTTCAACATATGCAAATCAATCAATATGATACATACATCACATCAAGAGAATGAAGGACAAAAACCATACAATCATTTCAATTTATGCTGGAAAAGCATTTGATAAAATTTAACATTGCTTTATGAAAAACCCTATAAAAATGGATATAGAAGAAACATATCTCAACAAAATAAATGCCATATATGACAGGAACATAATTAGTATCATACTGAATGGGGAAAAACAGAAGGGTTTTCCTCTAAGGCCTGGAACATGACAAGGGTGCCCACTTTCACCACTGTCATTCAACATAGTATTGGAAGTCCTAGCTACATAAATCAGATAAGAGAAAGAAATACAGCACATCCAAATTGGAATGGAGGTGGTGAAATTATCATTGCTTACAAATGATATAATCTTATATTTAGAAAAATCTAAAGACTCCACCAAAAAACTGTTTAGAACTAACAAACAAATCAGTAAATTTGCAGGATACAAAATCAATATATACCAACAGTGAACAATTTGAAAAATAAATTTAAAAAGTAATTCTATTTACAATAGCTATATGGAAAACTAAATACCTAGGATTATCTTAACCAAAAAAGTGAAAGATCTCTACAATGAAAACTATAAAATATTCATGAAAGAAATTAAAGAGGACACAAGAAATGGAAAGATATTCCATGTTCATAGATTTAAAGAATCAGCATTGTTAAAATGTCCATACTACTTAAGCAATTTACAGATTTAATGCAATCCCCATCAAAATACCATGACATTCTTCACAGAAATGGGAAAAATAATTCTAAAATTTGTATGGAACCACAAAAGACCCAGAAAATCTAAAGATATCATAGCAAAAAGAACTGGAAAAATCATATTACCTGACTTCAAATTATACTATAAAACCATAGTAACCAAAATTGCATGGTACTGGCATAAAAACAGAAATATAGACCAATAAAACAGAATACAGAACTCAGAAACAAATCTACACACCTACAGTGAATTCATTTTTGACAAAAGTGCCAGGAAGATGCACTGGGGAAAATACAGTCTTTTTAATAAATGATGCTGGGAAAACAGGATATCTATATGCAGAAGAATGAAACAAGACTCCTATCTCTCATCATGTACAAAAAATAAATCAAAATGGGTTAAGGACTTAAATCTAAGACCTCAAACTGTGAAGCTACTACAAGAAAACATCAAGGAAACTCTCTAGAACACTGGGCTCAGAAAGATTCCTTGAATAATACTCCACAAGCACAGGCAACCAAAGCAAAAATAGACAAACAGGATCACATCAAGTTAAAAAGCTTATGTACAGTATGAAACAAAAACACTGAAGCGATAACCCACAGAATGAGGAAAAAATACTTGCAAACTATCCATCTGACAAGAGATTAATAAATAGAATATATAAGAATCTCTAACAACTCAATAGGAAAAAATCTAATAATCCAATTAAAAATTGGCAAAATGTTTGAATGGACATTTCTCAAAAGAAGACATACAAATGGCCAACAGGCATAAGAAAAGATACTCAACATCATTAATTATCAGAGAAATGCAAACAAAAACAACAATAAGACCCCATTTAAAATGGCTTTTATCCAAAGACAATAACAAATGCTGACCATGACGTGGAGCAAAGGGAATGCTGATATGCTGTTGGTGGGAATGTAAATTAGTACAACCACTATGGAGAACAATTAAGACCACTATGGAGAACAATGAAGAGGTTCCTTATAGAAACTAAAAGTAGAGCTACCATATGATCCAGCAATCCCAATGTTGGATATATACCCCAAAGAAAGAAAATTGGTATATTGAAGAGATATCATGTTTGTTGCAGCGTTTTTCACAATAGCCAAGATTTGAAAGCAACCTAATGTCTATCGAAAGATGAATGGATAAAGATAAAGTGGTACATAGACACAATGAAGTACTATTCAGCCATAAAAAAGAATGAGATTCTGCCATTTGCAACGTGGATGAAGCTGGAGGTCATTATGTTAATTGAAATAAGCCAGGCACGGAAAGACAAACTTCATGTGTTCTCACTTATTTGTGAGAGGTAAAGATTTAAACAGTTTAATTCATGGAGACAGAAAGTAGAAGGATGGTTACTAGAGGCTGGGAAGACTAGTGAGAAGGTAGTAGGCTTGGGGGAGATGGGAATGGCTACTGGGTACAAAAATAATAGTTAGAAAAAATAATAAGACCTAGTATTTTATAGCACCATGTGGTAACTACAGTTAATAATAATTTAATTGTATATTTTTTATATAACTAAAAGAGTACAATTGGATTGTTTTTAACAAAAAGGATATATGCTTGAGGGAATGGATACCCCATTTTTCATGATGTGACTATTACTCCTTGCATGCCTATATCAAAATATGTCATGTACCCTGTAAATATATGCACCTACTATGTACCCAAAAAAATTAAAAATAGAAAGTTAAAAAAAGAAGTCTTATTCTTGTATTTCCTCCTTTAAATATCGAAAAGAAAGCTTTCCTATCATCTTAACATGAAGGTAAAGTCCCTTCTACCCTGACCTTTGGTAGTGACCTTTGGTAGAGCAGTCTGTACCACTGCTCCTTGCCCACAGCAATTCTCTCTGTTTGATGCTCTTGGATTCATGTATTTTAGGCCAAATACAAATTCCATTCAGTGCCTAGTCTCAAGTAATCACTTCTCTTTTAAAGGGCATTGCAAACCAGTGTCTACATTTCAATGTTCTTCCCACTCTACAAAGCAGAAGTCAATTTAGGTAAGCCATTGACAAGAAGTCTGTGGGTGCCAGTACTGTATTGATCAATTCTCTGCCACTAGTTAGATTTGCCTGGTGTTTGCATTGACATTGCCAAAGCTGTCAATCAACCTCCAGCTATTTGGCACTCTAGAGACAAGCCAGAAAACTCAAGGGTGAGAGAAGGAAATGACCAGTTCTATTTTTCTACAGACTCAAAGGATTAGCATAAAATGAAAATAATTGTGGAGACATCTTATGAGCCATAAATTCATGGCCAATAACCTAAATAAAAAATAGTCATAATGCAGGCCTATGCATAAGCTGTCATTACAATCAAGACTAAATTGAGGGTCATTTTTAAGTAAAGATACATCCGGAGAGGATGGACACAGTAACAAATATATAAAAATTTATTTTTTATCTCTTATAGACAGTAAAGATTAGTCATAATTTCCTTGATATGTTACATACCTTAAAACATCTCTCAGGCCTTCATAGCATATATAATATGTGACATTGCAGTATGGGGCTGACTATAACCCAAATAAAATAAAATTTAATTGAAATATTTCTTCAATTTCATGGAGAAATGTGATTGAGGCTCATTTTAGAAACTATCACTACTAAAGTATCTAGTGTAAACTTGTCTGAAGTGTTTTTGCTTTTATTTTATCTGAAAGAGAAAGCCAAGTGTGAAGTTTTCACTATAAAATCGAAGAGTTGAGATTATTTAGGTTTTGTGGTGAGCCATATTTTTAAATATTTGGGGTTCAATCTTTTTCTGGGATAAAAATATTAATAACTGGCATAATGGTCAGGCAGACAGCTCCCACCTTTAACTCCAGCACTTTGAGAGGCCAAGACGGGAGGTTTGCTTGAACTCAGCAGTTCAAAACCAACCAGGGCAACACAGGGAGAACCCATTTCCACAAAAATAACAATAAATAAAAATAAAAACATAAATAACTGGCAGAAATGAATTTGAATACAAATATCATATTAGGCTAAATCAATTAGTTGTGTTGTTGTTAGGCAAGGAGAGAAGAGCACAGACTTTCTCCCAGATATGGCTTGACTATGCAGAAACACAGTGATCTCTGTGGTTGTCCACAACCCTGCAAGATTATAACGCTAAGACCAACGCACACTCTCCTCCCATAAACATTCACATCTCTTTATTACCTTATTGTTCTCTCAATGCTTTATTTTTCACTTGCATATAGAGCCTTTAGGTCTTGTTCTTACTCATACCGATAACTTTCATGAATGCATCACCCACTCTGTCGTGCTTTCTTGCCATTTGTTACGGGTTGAGCTGTGTCTCCTCGAACTTCATATGTTGAAGTCCCAACCCCTAACACCTCAGAGTGACCTTATTTGGAAATAGGGTCATTGCAGATATAATTAGTTTAGATAAGGTCATTAGGGAGGGCTCTGGTTCAGTATGACTGGTGTCCTTAGAGAAAACAGAAATCTAGATACAAATATGTGTAGAGGGGAAATATTGTGAAGAGCCATAAGGAGAAAAAGTGTCTCCATAATTCAAAGAGGTAACATCTCTTTTCCTCATCACCTGCAAAAGGAACCACTCCTACAGATACCTTGACTTTGAACTTCTAGTCTCTAAAACTGTAAGACAATAAATTTCTGTTGTTTAAGCCATTGAGATTGTGGTACTTTGTTAAGGCAGCCCTTGCAAGCAAATATATAATTTTTAAGCATCATGGTATTTCCTAATTAAATCTAGAATTCTAGAACTTTATTCAAGCCATATTACATTCAGTATTCAAATCATTTTTTTCCAGATCAAGGATTTCTTCTTTTTAAAAAAGGATAAAGTATATGCTCTTCTAAAAATCTCTTCCTCTCTTTGGTTCTTGTCCTTACTTATATGTCCATTTATGAATATTTTTCAATTCACTTTCTTTTGGTACAGCAACCAGAACCAATTGCAGAGTCCTATGCTTTGATGCAAGGATAAGTCACTTCGTAACTCTCACTTTCCTCATTTGTAAAAGGCACTAGAAGTCATCTTACAGTATTGTTTTGAGAATTAAACAAAATAACACCTACGAAAGTGTTTGAATTACTGATGTTTCTGCTATATTTGCAGCAGCATCTCTGATGATTCACAGAATAATAGCAACTGTGTTTGCCACCATAGACATCAGGTGGAGCTCTCCAGAAAGAGAAGATAATAATGACTCACAAATCTTTATTATGTGTCATCACTGATGCTCAAGAGTCATCATGATATAAATATGGTTATTTTTTCTTATTCTACCATATTCACACTCCCATAGTGCTGTTCATCTTCTGTGTCCTGACCTCACACACAAGCAAGAAAGATTTTTCTGCAGTTTATTCTTATCAGCTTGACACTTAATTACCCAGAGAAGCTTAGTGTCATCTGTGAACTTGAAGATTTTATGGGGCACTTCATCTTTCAGGTTTCTTTTAGAAACTTTAAATGAAGCCAGTCCTGGTAATAATCCCTAAGGCATAGCATCCAGACTTGACTGTTGGGAATGGGTTACAGATGGGCCAAGACGCAGATACCCTCAGCTCTTGGAGTAGCAGGTGTCTCCATCCATGAACACTCTTTTCTCTGTACATGAGTGAATTGTTGACAGCATTATCATTTAGTGGAAAAAAAATGTTCTAAAGGTATCTTCTGTTAAAATCCTTTTATTCATAAAAGTATTGGTTGTTCCTTTGCCTTTTTCCCAGCAATAAGCCAGATGTTTAGCCATGAGACCGTATTCTCTTGAATTTTTAGGCAATTTGCTGTATGTGTGCGAGTGTGTTTTCTATATCTGTTTTTAGTAGAATTCAACATAGAGCATTTTCAGATGTGTTGCAATGGTGACAACTAAGAATCATGGGAAAGATGGAATCCAAAATTATGTGCAGAATCAGTCACAGTAATAAATAACTCAGAAGTAAAGTCCAAGGGCTTGTGTGAGGTATTGCCACCAGATCTGAAAAGACAAAAAATATTTTGTGCTTACTATGTGGAACTGCACTGATATGGAATCTATATACATTAAGAAATCATCTGAATATTGCCTTTATTAAGTTTACTGGATATCCCTTGCTGCCATTCCTAAAGGTCATCACAATCAACGAGTATTTTGTTTTACTTAAGCCTGGGCAATATAAAGCTTTCTGAAGATAAGGAGTTCCTTTGTCCATAGAAGAACCTTGGGGGAAAAGAGAAGTGGTAGTGGAGTGAGTTGTTTAGTGGGAGAATGGGAATTCCTAGAGCTTAGGTGAAAGGGGAGACACCTAAGCAAGGCTTGGAAAGCTGGTAGAAATCTAATAGCCTGAACAGAGAAGTGGCAATCTCGTTCCATGCCTTGGAATCTAAACTTCCCATAGGAAGGGGTGACCTAGTAAATACCTCAGAATCAAATACAAAAATAAAAGAGGTAATAGTGAGAGAGAAAAACAAGAACAAATATGAGAGTGACAGCAAAAGCAAGAGGTTATGAAAGAGAACCTTAGCCTAGGCAAGGCAACCCAGCTTATGCTGTGTCATTATTTTTGTGCTTTTACATTGTATAATTAGCCACAGATTCAAGTATGCAATCTCTCTAAGACAGGACTCAAGGAGAGAGATTAAAGAGAAACAGCAGTATTAAATAACTTGTGAATTAATGTCCCTGTCCTGTGAGACTGGCATATGTCCCAACCTGATTTTTTCACTATCTGCTTTTATGGGAGTCTTTAGATTCCTTTGCTGCAGCCTCCTACTATATACTGTAATGCACAGGATGCCTGACTGATTCTAAGGCTTGGAACCCACAACAATTCAGGCCCTGGATAGACCATCACCCAAGAATTGTTTTGGATTAATTTCCTTTCAAAATGCTTCCAGGAAGGCTCCCTCCAGCCTGTAGGTTGAGATGGGGGCTGCCTTATGACTCTTTTCCACTGGACTTAAGGTGTAGCAGGAATCCATTCTCCTCCTACGCCTGGAAGAAAGAACGCACAACTGTCTCCCACATTCTCTAAAAGAAGCCTTCTCCATTAATTTTCTTTCTCCATGCTTTTATGGTTGGAGGTGGGTGATCACTGCAGGCAAAATCAATTTAGCCATCTCTTAGCCCATCCTGGTTAAAAGAGCTAACACCTTTCTTGGAAAGGGTTGAATTGGGAGAATTGACATCTGTTGCTTTACTGCCAGTCTTGAGGGCTTCAGACAAAAATGAGACAAAATGAGTTATAATTATTTGGTTGCTCAATTTTAAATGACTACTTTTGAGGTTAAATATGGTCTATATCAGCTATTTCATATGGCTCAATCTAATGAATCTTATTGCATCCATTTTCCCTTTCATCCTATTACCATTGAGTTTTGTCAAAATGTGACTTGTTAGGCAGCTATTCTTTGTCATCCAGCAATTTTTTAGTGACCTATGAAAAAAAATACACAAAGTCAACCCTTTCCTATAACCTGAAATAGTATTTCTTCAAACAAATGAACAAAGCACATACTTCACTCAATGTTCTCAAAATTACAATCTTCCAAGCTCTCTTTTATTGTAAAACAATGAAACAAATAGTTATTCACCGCCTATCTTGGAAGTACCCCACCAGATGACCTGGAGAGAAACAAATTTTTTGTTAGTATTTACCAAATGAGATGTGACTTTTCTGGCTGACTGAAGGAACCCTGCTTAGAAAACCATCATGGTGCTAAATAAAAGGCAGGTTCTGTTGTTAGGATGCTGCTAAATAATGACAGTCACAGCTGCCAGCCTGTGACTTTTACCTAAGCGTAACTACCTTCAAAAAGTGTCTTTGCTACTCTGATCTTCTGGAAATTTTATTTGTTCGTCTCATTTGCTAAAAATAAAAGATATAAATATGCAATTGAACTATCATGTCAACTTTTTTTTGTCATCTGATTTCTGTATATCCCATGCCTCTGTACCAAGGTGACTTGTAGTACATTGGGGATCAGTTCTGTATTGCTTTTCTGGCCTTTACACAGTAAAGTAACTCAATACATGCATGTTATATGAGTCAGAGTGCTACTGCTCTTGAATGAAGCATTTTCAATGTTTGCATTATTCTATTTTAGCCTCAGTATCAGTTTTTGAGATTGTTCAAATCAATCTATCAGAATAACTAGAAAAGGCCACCTTTTTACATTGCTGGTAAAAATAATAAGTGTTATGTTTAACTTTAGTAGCAGTTCTTTGATTTATTGTTCTGATCTTTTAATTTCTTGCAAAAATGGGATTCTTTAGAAATATAAATCAGGGTAAAATCAACAAGAGAATTTGCCTAATATTTAAGCTCAAAGAAAGTGGAAGTCTTATATAGAGGTCAGTATGATCATCTAAAGATTTCTTTGTAAGCCCAACATATATAAAATATTGAATAATCATATCAGAATGCCAAAGAAAAAAGAAGTACAAGATTATATCACAGCTTCTGCAAGATAAAATATTCCAAGAATATGGAGGAACAATTGTTTGTTCTCTTCTTTTTAGCTGTTATGAAAGGAACAATTTTAAAAGCAAATAATACACTGGAAAATTCCAAAAATTTATATCATACTCAAAGTAATGTGTTCATGTAGAATTGTAAATGAATAATCACAACTTAGAAATAGAGACAATCTTATAAAAAGACCAGATTAAAAACAAAATACTTTATTCATGGTAGATGGCAATTTTTTAAATAGGTGTTCATTTTCCACTGGAACTCAAAGTCAAATTGCCTTTCCTGTATGTTTTTAAGTGAAATTTACTGATTGAGTTGACGATGATACTTTCAGGAATCAATGAGCATTTGATGATGTAGACCTCAAACAGCATCCTCTTTGCAAAAGAATTCATATCATTCTTTACAGAGCATCTGTGCTAAGTGAAAATAAATTATGAAGGGGAAAAATGAAAGAAACATAAAACAAATATTCACAGATGGATGATTTTTTTACAATTGGCAAGTGCTTCACAGGACTAATAGAAATTTGCTTACATAAAAAAACAAAAAACAAGCTATCAAGAAAGTTGAACATATGACCATTGTCTTTATTACCCAGGCAACACCTACTATTATCAGTAAGTGAATGTTTAAATGAGATAAGTCAGAAGTCTGGAAATAAGGGAAATATCTTGGGGAGTCTCACTGTCAAATCCATTCAGAGGAGATTAAACAGAGATAAACAATGTTACATTTAAAAAAAAAAAGTTTCTTCAGACCCGTAAGTCCCATTATAACCAAGCTTAAGACATGAACATACATATATATATTTTTGTGATTCTCCTGCCTCAGCTTCCCCAGTAGCTGGGACTATAGGTGCGCGCCACCATGCCCAGCTAATTTTTGTATTTTTAGTAGAGACGGGGTTTCACCATGTTGGCCAGAATGGTCTCGATCTCTTGACCTCATGATCTGCCTGCCTCGACTTCCCAAAGTGGCGGAATTACAGGTGTGAGCCACCATGCAGGCCTGATATGAACATATTTTTAAAATGTAGCTATCAATCAAAATGAAGTTGGTAGTAGCACCAGCTATGCAAAAAGAGAAGCATGAAGGCAAACATTCAAATTAAATATTAAGTCAACTGCTTTCTAGTGTGCAAGGCCAATTGACAATAGTATTTTTATCATTATGTAAATAAAATAATTGGGGTTAGTTCTAAGCCATTACACATTTAAATCATACAGCAAACTGTCCCTATTCTAATTCTATGTTTACAAACAAATCTACTTTTTGTTTGTTGTTTCCCAGAATGAGATGGTTCTTCCATCAATATTGTGGTCCACGTAACAGTTAATTTGCTTATTACAAAAAAATCAACTGATTTTCAATGGTTATTTACCAGTTTCAAGGACTCCGGTGAATTCGCCAACATAGTATCTGCCCCTTGAAAACCAGGCAGCAGCCCTCTCCTGGCTTTTGCAAGACTTTCCAATAGATTATGGGAAAAACCAAGTATTTTAGACATTTGAAGTTCTACATCTGCATTTGAGTCTAATCAATCAAAACTCACAATCAATTGTCTACATAAAGTGAAAGTAATTATAATCAATTAATCATTCTAGTATGCCAAATTCCATGTAGGTATTATTTTAGAGCTCATCTGAGAACCATCGTACACCATTTTCAGAATCTAAAACTGGCACTAAATGAAAACATTAACAAACTTTAAAATGTATCAGCTGATTTGTGAACATGTTTTATATGGTGGGCAGAAGAATAAGACAAATTAAAATTCAAGTGTCAGTTTGTTAAACATTAACAAGCAAAATATGTTTGCAGAATATGCATGTTGTCAACAAGGCATGCATAAAATTGGAATGCCTTTAGTGTTTATTATAACTTAGAATACAAGTTCATAAAAGATGGGGAGACTACTAGGTATGTCTTCCCCAAAACAACCAACTCATAAAGAGTATTGATGAAGTAGAAAATTATTATTTTTATTGAAAGTCAAATTTCATTCCTATGTTGAAAAAAAAATTGAAGAGAACTTAAAGTTCAGTTATGTTATGTTTGGCATGATAGAAAAGTAATCACATAATTTAACAGTGAAAAACTAATATTTTCCTAGGTGTGGTGATTTACGCTCCTGACACTTTGGGGGCCAAGGCGCAAGGATAGCTTAAGCCCAGGAATTCAACACCAGCTTGGGAAATGTGGCAAATTTCTGTCTCTACAAAAAGTACAAAAATTAACCGGGTATGGTGGTGCACACCTGTGGTCCCAATTACTCAAGACACTGAGGTGGGAGGATTTCCAGAGTCCAGAGAGCTCAAGGTTGCAGTGAGGCATGATTGTGACACTGTACTCCAGCCTGGGTGACAGAGTGAAACCCTGCCTCAAAACAAACAAAAGCCTAACATTTGAACATTGTAAACCTCTGTTCTGTCCATGCAAATTGCATGTGCTAGTGAATTTCAATTGAAATCACAGAATGATTTTGACAAGCTTGAAGGAGTCTCAAAACTGTTCTGACCAT